AACTGAAGTGGGACTCTGTGAGGAAAAGAGAAATCAGTATGGGGAGGGAGACAAGAGATGATAATTGTGGTCAATATAATGAAAATGTATTATACACAGGCATGGAAATGTCATAGTGAAACGGATCTTTGTATGTAACTAATATAAGCTAATAAAACATTAGACAAGAAGAAGGTGTGGTTCAGTTTGTGACAGTAGTGGGGTGAGCTACAAATTAGGCTCCTTCTCCCTAGACACTCAACTGTGACAAGGCCAGCACAAAGGAGCTGCAGTGGCTGTGCTCCTCTGCAGTAGGTAGGAACGGGTGAGACAGGAGAAAAGAGGCTGGGGGAACTGAGTGATTTAGTCCTACTCTCCCAGGACTGGAGAGCCTGAGGCGGAATGCCAGATAGGGATCCTGCAATGCAGGACAGCAGCAGGTCACGGCTGTCAAAGCGAGTCATGATGGGAACGCTTGTAAAGGAGTAGCAAGTGCAGTCTAAGAAAACAGCGGGGTCCTGGAAGTTCCAGGTGACACAAACTGGAAGCACTGGAGACCCAGGCCTAGCCCTGGGTCAATAGAAAACCTCAGCTTTCTGGGCTCTGGGCTCTGTGGTTAGTATGGGAACCACATACTTCCTCCCTTCTGGCCACACAGGGTAGGCCACATGCTTCTTGCTTCCAAGTGGACATTCCGGTGAGATGGTGAGATCAGGCCCTATGCTTAGTTAGATGCTGAATCATCGGCAGTTAGGAGCACTAGGTATGGGGGCTTGCAGAAAGGAAGACAGGCACTCCAGAACCCAACGTTCCTACGCAGTTTGGGCAGGACAGAGCAGCGTCCCTTCCTCCAGTGGAGTACCCTTTATTTACAAGGACAGACATAAACACAGACTCCTCCCTTGTGGGCAGCCACTGTGTCAATGGGCAGGTTCCCATCCAGGGCAGGTGCTGCGTCACTGCCCAGAGGAACAATGCATTCCACGTGGGAACCTGGGTGAGGCAGGAGCCCACGTCTACTGTAGGAAGAAGCCTTTGGTCTGCAGAGGGACTTTCTGGGGCTGTGATTGCACAGCCTGGCTTGGTCCTGTGATGGTGAATCACACTTTGAGCTCACACCCAGCAAAGGCACAGTAACTGGCAGCCGTAAGGCTTTGGCTATTGAACCTGGGAAACCCTGTTTTGCTGGCCTTCTCTTTGACTTCAGCCTGATCCCCAGAAGCCCCTGTGCTCTGAATTAGCTTGATCATTTCCCGTGAGACCATCTGACGGTGGAAGCATGGGTCAGCCATGGCGGTGCTCCACCCACAGGCTTGGCTCCAAGTGAGGAAGCAACATGGGATCCCCACTCAGATGCCTGGCACCCGTCCAGACTCCAACACTACCCGGAAACCTCACCTCGGTCCTTGGCCTTCTGGAGACAACTTCCACAGAATAATGCAGAGCGACCTCAAGCTGGCCTAGCCAGGCTCACAGGGACGGGCTTAGTTCCAAGGGGAGGATGCAGTCACATGAGTAAAGTAAATACACACCGAGTGCCGTCTGGTTGGGTCCTGCTTCTGCACCCCGTTTTTGTGTAGGTATGTGTGGTTATATGTACGTGTAGAGGCCAGAGGTCAACCGCAGGTGTCATTTCTCCGGTGATGGGTTCTTTCCCCTATTTTTATTTATTTATTTTGTGCGCACAAATGCAGTTATGCATATGGGTGTGTAGGTCAGAGTGAAACCTTTTCTCCTTTTTGGGTTCTGGGGAATCGAACTCAGGCAGTCAGGCTCGGCAGCAAGCACCTTCACGAGCCGAACTGTCTTGCTAGACTCCACTTTGCTGTCTTTAAAGCTTGCAGACTCAGCTAGAACAGCTGGTTGGTGAACCCCCAGGATCATCTGGTTCCCACTCTCCCAGCTCTGGGATGACAAGAACTTGCAACATGCTGGCCCTTCCTTTTTCTTTCTTTGTCTCTCTCCCTCTTCCTTCCTTCTTTCCTTCCTTCCTTCCTTCCTTTTTTCTCTCTCTTCCTTTCTCTCTCTCTCTGCCCCTCCCTCTCTCCCTTTCTCCCTCCTTTTCTTCCTTCCTTCCTTTCTTCCTTCCTTCCTTTTTTCTCTCTCTTCCTTTCTCTCTCTCTCTGCCCCTCCCTCCCTCTCTCCCTTTCTCCCTCCTTTTCTTCCTTCCTTCCTTCCTTCCTTCCTTCCTTCCTTCCTTCCTTCCTTCCTTCCACGGTTTCTGGGATGGAGCCGAGGTCCCTCCCTCATGCTTGAGTTCCGTACTTTGTGGACTGAGTCACCTCTCTGAGCAAGTCTCTGTGATTTTTTTCTCAGCCCCACTTCTCCGATCTACCAAAGGCCACCTGTCTCCCACCCAGTAGACCAAAACATCATCAGAACTGAGAGTGATGCCTTCCTCCACAGATACCGACTTAAGGCTGGGGCAGAGATGGGCAGGTGACACAGCCACCAAGGTGCAGCCCTCTGCCTTTTAGTGTGTCAACCTGGGAGAGGCAGTGTGTGGCAGATTGTACCATAGGTGCCGCCATCAGTGCCACTTCCTACCACACATGCCCTGCGCGCCCCTCCCACACGGATCCTGGTCCAGGTCATGGGAACTCGTTAGCTAGTGGACCTTGGCCAAGGAGAGGCAAGCAGAGGATGAGAGCACTTGCCATTGGGCTGGCCCTTCTCCAGCGTATGCAGCTCTCCACGAGAAACTGAACTGGACCTGTTCGGAAGCCACAGAGCTTCCCAGCCTCCGCTTGAAACCAAGGAGAAAAGAGGCCATTGAGGACCCTCAGTCTAGTGCAGTCCCTGCCTGGCTGAATGTTACATGTGATGACGCTTGCCCGGCTAGAGAGTCATGAACAAATGAATGTCATTAAGCCATTCAGCTCAGGATGGTTTGTTGACTGGTAGTGGGTAACAGACCTCCAGGGGATAAGACACACCAGAGTTCCTTTCTGTGGCCCAAGATTACTGAAGGACAGGATGCAAGCTCCAAATCCTTCTTGCCTTCCTCCCCCTATGTCCAACTATTTGATGAAATCTGTTCTAGTGGTCTTGGGGACACAGACAGACTTGGAGTTCAGGGTCAGTAAGACCCTTCTCATTCAAACTGGGTAGAGAAAGATTGAGTTTAACCCATGCCCTATACACACACTCTCTCTCTCTCTCTCTCTCTCTCTCACACACACACACACGTATGCACACACATGCACACACCCACGCTTACAAACGCACCCACACGCGCACACATGTACGCACACATGAACACCAGAGGTGGGGGGCTTACAGGCAGGCAGAGGCAGAAAGGACCTAGAAGAGGCTGCAGGAAGGTGTTCTCTGTAAAGAACAGCAGTCATGGGGCTCATCCCGTGGGTTCAAAGCCTGAGGTCCACACCTCGCCCCAGCCATGGCCTTGGTTGTACCTTTGAACCATTTGCTTAGTCTGGCTAGTCTCGGTTTCCACATCTGCAAGGGAGGTACCCTGTGCTCTCCTAGCAAGTTTACATGGAAAGTTAAAAGACACCGTGATGTAAGTACCCACCTTGAAGCCAGCAAGTGCACATTTAACCTGTAAAGTTTCACACAGCATCTTCCCTGGAGCCTCAAAAACACTCCAGGCCCTTGAACAAAGTAAGGTGACAGTGAGCCAGGCCTTCGGTGAGAGGAGTCCTTGAAGGGGGAGAGGAGGTCTTGCTCTGGGGTCTGTGTTCATCAGTCTGTCCAGAGGGCCTAGTTCAAAGGCAGCTGTGTCCTGTGAGAGGCGTTGCTGATGTAAGGGCCTTCTCTGTCAGCAAGATGCCGAGGCTATGCCCTCTCTACCTTTGGTGGCTAGCTGCCACACCCTGCACGTTTTGACATGGGTACTGGTGCTCTGAACTTAAGCCTCCACACTTGGCTTTTCTTAGGTGCATCTGGGGGCTTGAAGTCGGTTCTTCATGTTTGCACAGACAGCAAACACTTTACCAACTGTCTTTGGAGCAAAACAGTTCAACTTATAATGAGTCTACAGGCAAAGCATTTCTCAGCAGAAAACTTAGCATCAATAAAGTGATCATTTGCCTCAAGGACAAGTCGACAAACTAAAATATTAACAAACCAAAATCCTCCCTCTTCTTGCCACTTGTCCCTACAGGGAACAGTTACTATCACCAGTGATAGAGACCTAGCATTTTCAAAAAGTCCCTTGAAGGGAGACAGAAGGGGCAGTTTAGGGGGAGCCCACCTAGGAGATCAGGGTCATGTTCACATTTGAGGGTAAAGGGCCTCAGGTCTACTCCTTCCTAGCCCTGGCTGCCCCACCACCATGCCAGATGTCTCCAGGAGATGGCCCGTGGTCAGCCTGGAGGCAAGGGAGGACAGATCTGCGTGCTCCCCCTCGGACAGGGATTTCACACCCAGGAAAATCATTTCCTGGTAAAGAGATTAGAAGGCAGGGCTGCTCTCGGGAACAGGATGGGGCCGGGTTAGGCAGGAGAGGAACAGCGGGAGAGGTCGGGGGCAGGTGGGGGCTCTCGGGAGGAAGTGTCACTGTCAATCAGGGCGCTGACCCATCTAATCCAGCCTCCCGGCTCTCTTGATCCCGGGGACAGATGCCGGTAAAAAGGTGCAAACACTGAGGGCCCGGTCCTCCCTGCAGGCCTGCAATACGGGCTTCGCAGCAGAGAACTTGCTTAATCTTGCCAAGAGATAAGTTGCCCAAAAGGAGAGCTGCTTCCATGGCTCTTCTATGCTTCCGCTGGGGTTCTCGCATGGAGCCCTGGTCTACGACACTGGGGACAGTATGCTCCCTTCATTCAGGGAAGAGTGTGTTCTTGTTGGGGGCTGTGATGGGAACAGAGAAAACACCAGAGAGCTCTCCTCAGGCCCTCAATGGCGAGGTCTCTCCTCAAACCTTGATCGGGCTTCTAGCCCCATTCATTCATTCATTCATTCATTCATTCATTCAATAAGCAGTAACGGGACTCAGAATTAGTCAACCTGTATGTAGTTATGATTTCTATCGATGTGAAAAATACCTTGACCAAAAGTAACTTGGGGAAGAAAGGATTTATTTCACTTTCTAGCTTGTAAGTCCATCACTGAGGGAAGCCAGGGTAGGAACTCAGAGCAGGAACTGACGCCAAGGCCATGGAGGGGCACTGCTTACCAACTTGCTCTCCATGGCTTGCTCAGCCTGCCTCCTTACAGTACCCAGGACCACCAGCCCAAGAGTGGCACTGCCCACAGTGAGCTGGGTTCGCCTATATCAATTATGGATTTAAAAAATGATCCCACAGGTTTGATCATAAGCACTGTGGTGGGAGCATTTTCTCAGTTGATGCTCTGTCTTCCAAAATGACTCCTGCTTGTGTTAAACTGACACAAACTCTGCAGGCATGAGGACTTGATTTCAGTATCTCCTTCCCCTACAACACACCTGAAAAGCTAGATGACCTGGAGAGATGACAGACGTTAAGGGGAAGTTTGGGGCTTTCCCATAGAACCCGAGGTCAGCTTCCACCTCTATGTGAGGGGGTTCACAACTGCCCGCAAGTCCAACTCAAGGGGATTCTGTGTCCTACTCTGACCTCAGTGGGCACTGCACACATGTGGTGCACACACACACACACACACACACACACACACACACAGAGACACACACACAGAGACACCCACACAGAAACACACACAGACAGAGACACACACAGAGACACAGAGAAACACACACAGAGGCACACACACACAGAGAAAGTAAGATAGACAGAAGGAAAGAAAAGCAAAAAGCCCTGAGGCAAAAGGTAGATAAAGAGGAACAGGTTGATGTAAATTAAAAGAGCTGGCCAGAAACGAGCCTGGGTTAGGCCGAGCATTCATAACTGATAAGAAGTCTCTTGTGTCATGATTTGGGAGCCGATTGGTGGCCTAAAAGGAAAAGCCTGCTGCTGCATAGCACCATGCCTAGCTTCTCCACATGTGTTCTGGGGACAGAACTCAGGGCCTCATACTTGCAGGGCAAGCATTTTTCCAACATCCATCTCCCCAGCCCTAAAATCATGAGATTTTAAACATATATTCATTTTATTAGTTCTGTTTCTCTAGAGAACCCTGACTACCACAGGACCCAACACAAAACTGTAAGCTTACTAAAAGCATTATGAGAAGGGACTCATTTTTTTTCAACCTGATTGCAGGATTCTTGAGTATGAATCTCATAGATGGTACCATGTTGTAAAACCGAAAGGTTGGACACAACTGCAAGCAATGTGGCAACATCTAGAACAAGTACATTGCTGTGGGAGTTGGACGCTTTTGGAGAAATGGAACAAAGGTGCTTTTTGCCTCTTCTATCATCTTCTATCTCTATTTCCTACAAGTTTTACTCATTCATACATGTGTATTGTGATGATTAGTGTTAATGGTCCGTTTGACCAGGTCTATAATCATCCAGAAGACGACACACTCCCAGGCACACCAGTAAGGGATTTTCCAGATTAGGGTTAGCCTTTGGGCATGCCTGTAGGGGATTACCTTGATTATGATAATTGAGATAGGAAAACCCATCCACTGTGGGTGGCACCATTCCCTGGCCAGGATCCTGATCTGTATAAAAAGAACAGAGCAGTTGCATGCTTCCTGGTTATGGATATGACGTCAGCAGCTGTTTCCAGTTCCTGCTGCCATTCCTTCCCTGCCTGATGGACTGTACCCTTGAACCGTGAGCCAGGATGAGGGGGTTTCTGCAGGTGTCAAGGCAGGCAGCAATCTGTGAAGAGGTGAGAATGAAAACTCGATTTAGATTGACTTCGTCAACCTGGATCAAACTTCAGAAATTCTGATGCCAGGCAGTTTATTGTCAGTATATTTAAACACTATAGAATTTGGTATACGTATATGTGTGTATATATGTATATACATGTGTGCATATATACATACATATATTATAAATGTTTCCTGGTTCAATACAATCCCCAGTGTGCAAGGAAGCATAATTACATCTAAACTGAACTCGGGGCACTTCTGACACATGTACCCACCCTCCCATGCCGGATCAACAGTTGCTGCCTCTCAGATAATAGTGACATGACATAAGGGTTTCTGACCTAGGCGCCCGCTTGTGTTGCTCCCAGGCATCCTCTACACTGAAGTGTCTGAGGCACCTTGTGAGGTATCTGGGCACTCTGCTGACTTCTCAGGACAGTTCAAAGCTTTGGGCAGCTAGTGGCCTGCCTAGGAGCTTCCTGTGAGTCACACAGGGCAGACTCCTGAAGTGAGTATTGGGTACAGAAAGGTTCCCAAGGAGTAAGCTAGGAACAATAAGGAAATGGGGAAAAGGCTAGTTTTTGAGGTGTTTCCTGTGTCCATCTTGGGGACATTGAGGACTGGGCAGAGTGAAAGGCTCTCTGTGTTCAGGAAAGGTTTGGGTGGCCCTGGGATGAGATGATTCTTCTTGGAGATGTGGCCGTATCCTGTTTCCCCATGAACTGTCAAGGAGAGCAGGCCAGCCCACAGATAGGGATAGTGGGTCCAGAAACGTGTAAACAAAGTGTCCTGGCAGAAACATGATGGCTGCCATACTTCTGAGCCTGGAGGTAACCCTCAACTGGATGAATGCATTGAGGTTTGGGTTGGAGTAGGTTTCTTGTCTGGCCAGGAAAACGTGGGAAAGAATAAGACTGGGCCTATGCAGAGGGGGAATTGGATGCCAGCATGGCCAAGGCAGAAGCAACTCAGAGAACAAGGCCTACTCAGAGCCTTGTGACCATTGTCTCGCACAGGGCAGAAGTCAGCCAGGGGTTGCTCAAGCTCTGAGGCAGAGACCTAAGTGCTTAGAATGGTACCTAACCTAAGTGCACCTCCTTCCCCTCCCCATCCTGCAGCTGAACAACTTTGACCCATGTGGAAGCTTTGCAATGAGCCTTAGAGGTGCCCACCCGTTCTCCTCCATGCCTTGATTTTTGCAACAGGCCAGATTGTGGGGTACAGGTTTGTGGGGTGTAGATGTGGGGGTGCAGGCTGTGGGGGTGCAGGCTGTGGGGGGCAGATTATGGGTGTGCAGACTGTGGGGGTGCTCTAGTTTCACTTGTGCGCCTGTGACAGATACCCCTCAAGACAGGAGATAGTTGGCTTACATGTCTAGATCATAGTCCATCTAAGGACTATAGGGAAGTCAGCACTGGGACTCAAATACCTAGTCATACCACATTCCCAGTCAAGAGTAAAGAGAATGACTGCGACCGTGTTTGCTTGGTCTCCACAAGCTTCCGCTATTCTTATATAGCTCTGGGATCTCTAGCTAGGGAAAAATGTCACTCACAGTGGGCTGGTGTTCCCACATCAGTTAATTAAGACATCCTCCTCATGTTCAAAGGCTAACCCGATGTAGACAATTCCCAGGTGATTCTAGGCTGTGTAAAAACCTGTTGAGAGTTAAAACTAGGCACCACAGGGCAGGGTGAATGTTGGAAAGTTCTTTTGCTTACGAAATGTCCTTGTGAATGGAGGACACACTTGGTATAGCAAAGAACCAGATGGAATTAAAGCCTTCAGGGACTCCATGGAGCAGGGCTGCCAGACAGCCATGGACCATCTTAGTAATTTTTTTTAGTTTCTGTGATAATGCACCATGGCCAAGGCAACTTGTAAAAGCAAGTATTTAACTTGGGGGTTCACAGTTCCAGAGAGTTTAGCCCATGACCATCATGGCGGGGAGCATGGCAGCACTCAGGCAGGCATGATGCTGGAGCAATAGTCGAGAGCTTACATTTGATTCACAGGCAGGAGGCAGACAGAGATAACTGGGAATGGAGTAGCCTTTTGAAATCTCAAAACCCACCTCCAGTGACACACCTCTTTCAATAAGGCCACACCTCTTAATCCTTCCCAAACAGTTCCATCAATTGTAGACCAAACATTCAGATACATGAGCCTATGGGGGCCATTCTGACACCCAACTTTGGACTTTTACATGAAAGAGAATTCCAATTTCTCTTTGCTTATTGTGCATTGTTGTTTTGCCCTTTCCATACTTGTAACCAAAATTTAGTTATCTGACCAGTGATTACATGGTTTGCATTGATATCACCATTTTTGGACAGTAGGAGGCAGGCAAAGCCCAGTTTGTATATGAGCAGTTTGCAAACCTAGTGATTACATCTCCTACAATTGGCCCTCATCCCTTACAAAATCCAAATGGACTGAATGCAGGTGTGTGGGCACCTGTGTGTTTATGCACATTTAGACTGTATGCTATGTTCGTGTGTACATGTGTGCATACTAACACACATGCACACTGTAAATAAGTGCCAGTATTTGAGTGTGTGTATCTGTGTGCATCATTCTCCAGAGTTTACATATGTCCAAGACTACACAGAGAAATTGTGTTCAACCCAGGCAGGTGCACAGGAGTGAGGGCCAGACTACCTGACCCCAGGGCTCCCAAACAATGCAATAGAGAGAGGCTTAGAAAGTCCATCCTTTTTTGCTTGTTTGTTTGTTTGTTTTTTGAGACAGGGTTTCTCTGTGGCTTTGGAGGCTGTCCTGAAACTAGCTCTTGTAGACCAGGCTGGTCTCGAACTCACAGAAATCTGCCTATCTCTGCCTCTCCATGAACACTTTACTGTTGAAGCCCTCCCTGGCCCTTCCTAGGTCATACTGTGCTTGTCTTCTGTGACCATCAGCCTCAGGTCACATGTGTGTTTAGTAAAGCCCAGTGTCTTAGCAATGACAGCGATTAGCATGTGTGAAGGTCATGTTTACACTTCAGTTGTCAACGGTGGTCATTATTTATTTGAAGGAAGGCCCTTCTCATTTGCTGGGCACCAGTCCTATGAGTAAGGCCATGTTGAAGACTTAATAATTTTCATATGGTAGGGACTGGGAGTGGGGAGAGCTAAAACTCCTTGTGGTAGCCAGAAGTAGGGTGGTCCCAAAGGGGCTTCAGGCACCACACCACAGACAGCAAAGTGGGGCTAGCAGATAGGAAAAGAGTGGCCAAGGAGCGCTTGGCTGCTCCGGCACCTTGACCCATCCAAATGACCGCCCAGGATACCAGGAGAATATGCAGATGTGAGCTCAGACTCTGCAGGGATCTTGGAGGTTTAATACACATCCAAATATGTCATGCCCTGAGCAGGAGGCAAGCACATTTTTAGCCACTACAGCTGGTAGGAGGCAGCATGGTATTGGGGAAAGAGAACAGGGTTTGAAATTAGAAAGATCTAGGAAAGGACATTTGAGATGGCTTAGCGTGTGAAGGCTCTTGCCACCAAGCCTGGTGACCTGAGTTCGATCCCCAGGACCTGCAAGATGCACGGGAAGAAGCAACATCTATCTGCAATCCTCCTCTGTAAAATAAGCTGCATCCCCCAGGCTGGGAGGAGAGTGAGGAAAAAAAAAAAAAAACAGCTTCCCAAGACCTCCAGGAGAGACGGACATTGTTCCTTCCTCCTGAAGGTCTCTGCTGAGACCTGGAGGGGAATTTGGAAGGAGAGTTAAAGACACGGCTCTGGAGTGCCCAATACATAAACATAAGACTTAGATTTGGACCCACAACACCCATGTAAAAACCCAGGGCATGCCTGTAATGCCAGCACTGGGGACAGAGTCAGGAGGACCCCTGGGCTTCTCTGGCCAGCTCATCTTGCCGAACCTGTGAGCTCCAGGGGAAGTAGAGGATGATAAGGGAAGGAAGGCAGTTGATGTTGGAGCCAAGGAGATGGATCGCTGGCTGGGTCAGAACAGCTGCCGGGGAAGCAGGACCACCTTAGTGCGAACTCCAGGAACAGACCAGCTGATCGTGAGAGCTCAGTGGCCAGTAAGCCTAGAGGATGGCGAGCTTCAGCTTCAGTGAGATAGTATGTCTCACAAGTAATGTGGAGGACAATAGAGAAACACACACATATTCCTCTGGCTTCCACTGGCACATGCACAAATGTGCACACACATACACACTAACATACACTCACACACATTTTCACATGCTCTCATGCACACTCACACACACACTCACATACACTAACATTACACTCATGCACGTTTTTACATGCTGTCATGCGCACTCACACACTCTTGCACACATTCCTACATACCACACACACATATGCATGTACCCTCATGCACATTCACACACACACTCACACAGACCCTCTTCATACATCCACACACATAGAATTTGGAAGTAGTTGTCTCTCCTGAGTGCAGGCCATGAAAAGCTCATCTCTTCACTCCTCTGGGGACTTAGGACCTGAGTCCAAGGTCAGAGGAAGCAGCTCACAGAGAGGAAGTCAATTTTGAGCCAGTGTTTGCCAAAGTCTCTGCTGTCAGAGGTGCCAGGCTCACTGACTGTGTCCACCTGGACCCTTCCCAGACCTCACTGGGCTTGTGGAGGAAGTTAGGGAGTTCAGAGGGAGTGAAAACAGGGCCACTGGACTTTGATTTGGTTAAACAACTATATTCAAAGGGAGATGACTGCTGGCCCCATCTCAGCCTGGTGGAGGAAGTCTGCCACAGAGTGACTTGTCTGTGGTCACTGCATCTGCTCCTGGGGCGTCACAGTCCATGCATTCAGGGAGACGCAGAAAATGTAACTGTATCGATGACAGAAGGAACAGCTAACTAAGTTGGGAGCAGAAGTTCCAGGCTAGACTGGGGTTGGTAGAGAGATTGCCCAGCATCCATGAAGCCCTGGGCTCCACTCTCAGCACTGCACAGGAAGATCAGTGACACACACCTCAGATCCCAGCACCCGGGAGGCTCAGAAGTTCATGGTCATCCACAGCTACATAGTAAACTTGGGGCCAGAGAGAGAGCCCCAAAGAGCGTTTGTTGTTCTTACAGAGGTGCTAAATTTGGGTCCCAGCACTCACATTGGCCAGCTCATAACCACTTAAAACTCCAGCCTCAGGGTATCTGATGCCCTCTTCTGGCTTTCATAGGCACCAGAGTACACATGTGCACATGTACAACACACAATAATAATAATAATAATAATAAAGTCAATCTTTTTTTTGTTTTGTTTTACGAGACAGGGTTTCTCTCTATTGTTTTGGAGGCTGTTGGTCTAGCCCGGCCTCGAACTCACAGAGATCCGCCTGCCTCTGCCTTCCTAGTGCTGGGATTAAAGGCGTGTGCCACCACCGCCTGGCATAAAGTCAATCTTTAAGAAATTGTTTTAGCCTAATCCTCTCCTGAAGCCTGAGAGGAAAGAACATGGGCCTCAGACAGACCAAGCTCCTCACCTAAGGCCACCAGGTGACTTGAACTAACACTCTGCAGTATGTCCTGGAATTCACAGCTTCTATGGTGCACCCCAAACTATCCAGAGTCTGGAAAAATTGGCCAATCAAGCACTTTCTTGGGCTCTTAGCATCCTTCATTCATCTCTAAGGCAGACACGGCTGGCACTTGCCTGGCATGTCCTAGTCTGTTGATACCAAGGGAATGAAAACATCAGGGAAATGTCCCTGCTGAGATAGGGTCATGGGGATGCCTGGGAAAGCCAATAATCTTAGAGCATGCCAGAAAGAGGCTAGTCAGAAAGGTGCTTCCACACAAGCAGGGAGACCTGAGTTCAACACTCACAGCCCAGTGGAACGGCCAGGCACAGCCACTGAAAGCACCGGAGGACAAAAACATCATGATCTCAAGTGACTGAGGAAGATACCAGCATTGCCCTCTGGCCTCCCCAGTCGCGTGCACATGTATGCACACACACACAATGCACACATAAATACATGCAAAAATGCACAAGAAAGTGAATTAGGTAATTTTATGGGGGGGAATGACACAGTGAAAACATTTCTTAACTGCCAGGCACTGTTGAAAACTCTGCGTCTACTTCCCAGTTTAATCCTTCCAGCTCCTCTAAGGTGGGTGTCATCATTATCCCTGCTTTACAGAGGGCTTCAGTGTCACTGTCACACAGCTGTGCTGAAATGTGTCTGTTTCCTTCTGGAACTGAAGGACACCTTGCCCAGCTCTCCAAAGACAGGGCCAGGTGGGCAGTGCTCTGATGGGTTATGCATTAGCTACTGTTCTCATTGTTATGACAAAGTGTCTGACGAGCGCCAGTGAGATAGATTAGTGGATAAAGACACTTGCTGCCAAGACTGACAGTCTAAGTTCTGTCTCCAGGACCCACTTAGTGGCAGGCAACAACTGATTCCAGCGAGTTTTCCTCCAGTGACGCCATGCGTGAGTACACATTGTCACACAAACAGAATTAAATTTTCCTTTAGTCTGGCAAAAGCAACTCAAGGAAGGTTTCATTTTGGCTTGAAGTTTGGGGTGCAGTCTATCATGGTAGAAAAAGTGTGTCAGCAGAGGGGGAAGCAACCGGTCACACCCAATCCACAGTCAGGAAGCAGAGGGAGATGAATGCTGGGCTAAGCTTGCTTTTTCATTCGTGTGCAGTTTAGGACCCCAAAGCATGAGATGATGCTCCCTGCAGTTAGGTATGGTCCTCCCTCCTCAGTTAAACTTTGCTGGAGATGCTCTCACAGACACACGTGGTGTGTTTCCATGTTGACTCTCAATCCAGTCCAGCTGACAATGAAGATTAACCATCACGGGAGATCACGGAATGCTGTCCCCATGGGTGGTGACATTAACCCTGAAAGTCATGGGCAGACAGCTCTGGGAGCACCCAGAGGAGTGCCTGCGGGATGCTACACTTCTGTAGCAGCAAACACATAGCACTATGGTCCTTGGCAGTGGGGGTGGGTAGTGGTTACCGGTTGATGTTGAAAGTGTGGGCCAGATTTGGGAGGATGTGATGGCTAATTTTATGTCTCAACTTGACACACGCTCGAGTCATTTAAGAGGGAACTTCAATTGAGAAAATGTCTCCACTAGATTGGCCCGTGGCACATTTTCTTGGTTGGTATGGGAGGGCCCAGTCACTGGGGCGTAGCACCACCTCTGGGCTGGTGGTCCTGAGTGTTACAAGAAGGCAGGCTGTGCAAGCCACTAAGCAGCACCCCTCCATGGCCTGTGAATCAGTTTCTGACTTCAGGTTCCTGCCTGGAGTTCCCTGGATGATGGACTAACTGTAAGATGAAATGAATCTTTGTTTCTGACTTGCTGTTGGCAGTGTCGTTTTACGGCAGCGTTAGAGACTCTAATCAAGACAGAAGACTTTCTCAAAGAGACACCGCTGGAGTGGAAAGAAATCATGGGAGCTGCCTAGTGGCTGCAGACGCCTTAACTGAAGAGTTTGTGTCCTGGTTACTCCAGAAGGAGGGCTTGCCACCCCAGAGTGGGCAGGCGACAACGGTGAGAGTAGAGACAGGTGCCCCTGTGGCATAGCTTGGTAGTTCTACTGCAGCCTGGTGGGTCGTAGGGTCTCACAGCTGGCCTGCCCTACTTGCAAATGAGAGCTGTGTTGTCAGTATGGAAATGCACCTTCCACTGGGATACAACATTGCCTTGTACCAGCAACAAGACATTTCAGTTTCATGTTTGTCAAGGAGGGAAAGGAAGGGCACTTGGTAGGCTCTTATTTTAAAGATTTAACTTTTTAAGATATGATTATTGTATGTGTGTATGCATTGTCTGTGTGCATACATGGGAAGACCAGAGGACAACTTCCAGGGGCCAGTTCTCTCCATGCACCATGTGGGCTCCTGGGACAAAACTCGGGTTTTTCAGGCTTGGGCGAGCCTCGTGCAGGAAGCACTCTTAGCTGCCGAGCCATCTTGTGCACTCACCTGTGGTTTCTTTAGCTTCAACTGACGTGAAGACACTTAAAATTCTCGTCCCCTCTACGTGGGATGGACACTTTGAAAACATCACTGAGATTGTTCCATCTGGGTTGAGAATGGAGATTAATTTGTGGAGTGCCTCTCCAGCATGGCTGAGGTCCTGGGATTGATACTTGGCCTTTATAGACCAGGTTTATAATCCCGGTATTAGTTGGTGAAGGCATGAGGGTCAGAAGTTTAAGGTCATTCTCAACTCTCAACTACAAAGGGACTCTGAGGCTCAGATACATAAGAGCCTGTCTCTAAATTAAATAAGTAATAAAAAAACAATTGACTAATTCCTAGCTTTTGGAAATTCACCATAGAGCTGTCACCACTAGGGCAGCTGGGTGATGGCTACCAAGGACCTGACTGTACTATTTTTGCAACTGTGTGTGAGCCTGTAATTATTTCGAAATAAAAAACTGAAAAACAAACATGTTCTGGAATCACACAGAGCCAGTTCAAACATCACATCTGACACAAAAACAAGTTTTCATCATGGAAACAGCTGTTTCTTATTTCACAACTTAAAAAAAACTGCTTGTAGGCTGGAGAAGTAGCTCAACCAACAGTGTTTGCCTAGTATACACGGGAAGCCCTGGTTCAATTCCCAGCATGGCATAAACCAGATGTGGTGAGGGCAACCCTGCCATCCCAGCACTGAAGATACAGAAGCAGAAGGAGTTCAAGGTTGACTTTGACAGTTCAAAGACAGCGTGGGCTACATGAGTCCCTGTCTCAAATTAAATAAGGGGCCAGGAAGATGGCTCAGTGGGTAAAGGCACTTGTCACCACATCTGGCAGTCTGTGTTGGATCCCAGGACCTAAGTGATGGAAGGAGAACCTGATAAATGGATGCCTGTGATTGGCAGATGGCTTCCACTTAAGTACTGTGACACACACACACACACACACACACTCACTCACTCACTTCCACAAATACATAAATGTAAAATAATACATAAAAGATTGTCTGTGGCATCTTGTGTAAATTCCTAATCTATTATGCTACCTATTCGTTTCCATAGTATGATTTTAAAGTAAAATGTTACTGTCTCTCCACTGTCTGAACACCTCCTCTTTACTCCAAAGGATTAAGTATTTCCTGTGTGATTTACAGCCTGGCAAATGTTTGGAGCCGCTGGTGGGTAAATGAGGTTGTGGGGGAGACCAGATTCAGAGAGGAGTTGGGGCTGCAGTTGGGAGCTAAAAGAGGTGAGCTTGGAAAAGAGTATTCTGGATGGCTTTCATTTAAAGTTTTACTATATTTTAACTGAGTGTGTGTGTGTGTGTGTGTGGTGAGTGTATTTGTGTTGTGTGTGCTGTGTGTGTGTGGTGTGTATGTGTGTTTGTGTATTGTGATGTATGTGTGCTTGTGTCTATGTTTATGTGTGTGTGTGTGTGTGTGTGTGTGTGTGTGTGTGTGTGTGTGTGCTGTGGCCATGGCTAGCAGGTGTCAGCTCTCTTCCTCGCCATATGGACCTTGAGGATGGAACTCAGATAGTCAGGTTTGTCATAAAGCTCCTTTACCTGCTGAGTCACCTGCCTGGCCTCTCTGGATGCTTTTCTGAACAATGGAGACTTCTGGCCTGAAGACAGGGTTCTGCCAAGACAGCAAGCCCTTCCTGAGGTGAAGAGCTCACCTGTTATCTTCTTCTGCCTTCTGCATC